ATCACAGAAAAAGAGAGATGCTCGGGTCGAGCAGGCTGATTCATGCGCGTTCACGCTCAGGCATCGCCCGTAGCATTTGCTATCCGTAGCTTTAGCAGCAGAGAGAGAGGCAGTGCCACTTTGTCGCTGTTCCTAACGCCTAGTGACAAAGCTAGCTACATTTCTGAGGACCCTTAGCTACTTTCTGTGGAACTTTCTTCTAGATATTTCCTGTAAATTAGCAACAAAATAGCCATTTTCGCTTCAAACCGTTCTTTGGTGTGACGTTGTTTCAGCTGTCATCAAGGATATAAATGTTACAGATACTGTGAATGTTACTAGAGTGTAGCTCACCTTGTAAGATGTCGGACTCTCGTGTAGAAGACCTGGGTTTGATTCTGGATGTGAACATAGTTCATTTAGAGTTTCTTTTTTACATTATTGATATATTTTTTTACAGTAAGATGCCCAAATTTTTATTTGAGACTCGCCGAACGGCATTGAATTGACAGATAAAAAAGATGTGGGTTCAACTTTCACTTTGGAACAATTTTTCAAGCAAGGGAAGGGAATGGTCTGAGCATGCAGGAGGACTGACCCATCATAAACCTTTGTCGGCTGTGCTGAAGAGAAAGGTACAGAACCAAATTATTTAATTAATTAGCTGCGCGTTCTCCTGTCCTCTGGGCCACACACACACACACACACACACACACACACACACACACACACACACACACAAGGGACTGTCTCAGCTGTTATTTTCGTTAAGGAGTGTGCACGTACGGCATGCGCGCCTCGTGCACGAGCCTACTATTGAAGCTGCCGTTACGCTTTTGGCCTGAGGGGGCAATCGCGAGCATAAAAATTCAAAACTCCGTAAAGTCCCTTTAAATAAAACTGTAATAATGAATTTAGTGGAAAAAGTCATCGGCTGTCGTAAGATTTGTCATTAAAGTCATTTTTTTTAGAAGAAGAAAGACATTTTTTCTTTATCTATCAGACTAATCTGGCTATATGTGTGAGCCAGCTTCACGCAGTCAGCTGACCTTTGACCCGATGGTGCTGTAAGGGCCTAAGGCAGATCATTGGGTCAGATACGGCGGTGCGGTGATATAGCCATCAGTCATATCTGACTAATATAAAGACAATGACCTGTTCTAATAGGGAGGAGCTCAGCGATGTGATGAACTCTGATATGACTGATCAGGCAAGGTTCAGGGTTCACGTATCACATTCATAGTCTACACACACACACACACACAGCACACACACACACACACAGATCTGATTAAAGCAGCTCTGCCAGGTGCAGCTGCTGATGTCTTTGATCATGCAGCAGGAGGATGTGTAATCAGTGTGATCGATGGAGGGGATATCAGCTGATTAGAGCAACACAGCAGCCTCAGTTTCTCCTGAAGGTGACAGGCCGGGGGGGGGGGGGGGGGGGGGGGGGGGGGCTCCACCCAGTGAAAGATGGATGAGGAGAGAGTGAAGGATATGAACAGAGACGGACAGAATATTCTCCTGAGCTGGGATCAAAGTGGTGAGGTGTTCTGTTACAGAGAGTCCATTCATGACCGCCTTTGATCCGTAGGACGAGGAGAACCACAGCACCCCGCAGCGCCGGTCCCAGCTTAACACGGACTCCTCTTGTGTTTTCAGAACCCAGAATCCAGGACTCTGGAGGAGGACCAGAAGATGAGGACGGTGAAAGAGAGGAGCTAGGTCCTCCACACAGCGGAGGGGAGGAAGAAGAAGGAGAGGAAGAGGAGGAGGAGGATGGGTTACCATGGAGAGGTCCAGGTCAGTGGCATCACGCTGTTGGGTTTATGGATTCAGAACGTTTTAATCAAAGTTGCAAAAAGTGTAAAAAACAAAACCTTAAAGATATTCCTACAAAAACCCAGAAACAAAAAACAGAACCAGCTCTTCTGTTTGACTTCAGCGTCTCTCTCGTGGTTCTCGAGGACTTCTGGTGATCCAGATATTTGTCAGCTTCTAAATTCTGACCGGACCTCTGCAGCTGTTCTGTTGTAGATCTGCTGTTTGGATAACAGTTCTGTTTAGTGACCCGGTTCGGTCCGGTCTCAGCTGTCAGACAGATGGTCTCACATGGTGGGCTCAGTGCAGCATCAGAACCGGGCCCGAACCATCAGCCCTCCACCACTGCGCTGGGATCAGCTGTTCGTGGTGCAGTGCATTATGGGTAAACCCCTCCCCTCCTGTTTCAGTTACCAGTAAAACCAGATGCTTCATGCTGGGCCGAACCTTCTGCTACTAAAACTGCTTTAAATTCTAAAAGGTTTACGAAGCAACATCCTGTCCTAGTTGCCTTGTCCTGACCTTTGACCTGCTAACTGAGGCCTGTGGGGTCTGAGGTGGAGCTTTCAGGGTTTTTTTTCTAACCTCTGACCCCCGGATAAACCTGATGGGCGGTCCACGGCTGTGACGACTGCTCGTTTCTCATCGTTAAAGCAGGAAGTGACGGAAAAGGAAGAGCTAAGTTTTGGTTTAGCTTCAGCAGCGAGAACAGATCCGCTCTCCTCAGCTCGGTGCAGAAACTCCTGAAGTCATAAAAATCAGGCCGTTGTTGATGCAGGAGCGGTTTAAGTGCACGCGAACGCCCGCAGAGCCTTGATTCTGCTGCAGAGACTCAAACGGGCCGAGCGGTTCTGCCCCTCCGAGGGTCCGTTCGTGCCTTGGGAGGTGTGAGTGCGACACGTTCAGCGTGGTGACAAAAACACAGCTGAGAGGAGATAAGAAGTAAATAATTTTAATATTTATTTCCTCTCTTATCGAGGTTTGTTTGGTTATTTATTTCTGTCTGTTGTCTTCAATGAGTTAAACAATTCAGGAAGATTACGGCACTATCTCACATTATTTCCTTTTCAAGCTGTGCACGTTTTATGTACGCCTGCGTGCGTGCACGTGTGTGTGTGTGTGTGTGTGTGTGTGTGTGAGTGAGAGCAGAGGATGTGTTCATTATCGTCCTGTCCCAGCCTCGTCCCTTTAACAGTAATTGGAGCGATATTAATTGCTGCGCGGTGGCTGGTTGATGGTAGCACCATGATGCTGAACTGATACGGCGCTTTTTTCTCCTCTCCTCCTCACAAACTAACTGCCGAGTGAGTGAGGCAGAGGGATGGAGGGGGGAGGAAGGGGGAGGAGGAGTAAGGGAGAGAGATAGCCCCTCTATCAGCTCCGGAGCAGGCGCTGTCTTTATCAGGAGCACGATTGGCAAAAAGGAAACTTTGACCGGTCTGAATTTTTCTCTTATCGTCGAGCCCTCCCTCCCTCCTTCCTCTCTCCTTCCTCCCTCCATCCATCCACCTTCTCCTCTGTTCCCTCCATCACTGCTATGACCCCTCCCTCCCCCACGCTCTGTCTCTCCCTCTGTCGCCTCCTCCTTTTCATTGTTTCTTCTCCTCCTCCACGTGTGTGACATGAAGGAGGAGGTGAGGCTTGTTGCCATGGGAGTAAACGGGCTTTTTTCTCCCCTGGAGTGAAGGAATGTCCCTCCTCTCTCCCCCTTGTTGCCTTTTGGACGCTTTTAATCAAACAGCTCTTCGGTGTTTTAGCTCTGAGGCTGTTTGAGCTCATGAGTTCTGTTCTGGTGCCGCCTGGCTCGGATCCTTAAGTGGGACTCAGCTGCTGGAACGACTAAATGTTCCTCTACTGGGTTGCAGATGTTAGAATATTGGAGTCTCAGACCAGAACCAGACGTCTAACTCGGTTCTGGTCCAAATCTGGGACCAGCGGAAGGTTTTTGGATGTCCTGCGGCTCGGTGAGCTGTCAGTCATCGCTAAGGATGCTGGGTATTTTTACCTCCATGTAAACTGGCTCCGACTCAAACGGGATGGATTCTTTATGCTGGTGAAGGTTCTCAGTCATCCAGGTCACGGTAGTCCTTCTTTGGTTTCTTGAAGACGTTTAGCTGACAAAGCTCCTCGGATGAGAAGCAAAACTTCTTCAAGAAACCAAAGAAGTCCAGTTGCCTTCATGTGAACCCTTTGGCTAGATTCTTTAGATTGTATTATTTATTATCTTATTGTTTATTCTAAAACGAGTGGCCTAAACAACCCGGTTTAAAGCAAATAAAGAGCTAATGATATAATTATGTTGTTATCAGAGGTGGAAAGAGTACTAAAATTTCCTACTTAAGTACAAGTACCAATACTTTGATAATTTTTTACTCAAGTACAAGTAAAAGTACTTGCCTAAATCTTTACTCAAGTAAAAGTAAAAAGTATCGTAAATAAAATGTACTCAAAGTAAAAGTTACTTAGTTACATTTTTGTCAGCATAAAGATGGCTACATCAGTGCAAAACCACAACACCAGTTCACAACACGCTCATGTGTGCGTGCGCACGCGCTCACACACACACACACACACACACACACACACACACACACACACACACACACACACACACACACACACACTCGCCATGACTAATTTAACTACAATGAACTGCTTTTTTGTCAACTTCAGGGTTCATTTCAAGATCCTGGTTCTGGTCTATAGGGCCTTACATGGACAAGCACCATCTTACATTGGTGATCTTCTTAGTCCCTACACCCCCAGCAGGTCCCTGAGGTCCAGTGATCAAAGCCTACTGGTTGTGCAGCGCCAGGCTAAAGGTCAAAGGTGGCAGATCATCTGCTGCTGTGGCCCCCAGACTCTGGAACTCTCTCCCCCTGAGCCTGAGATCAGTGGACTCAGTGGTCTCCTTTAAAAAGCAGCTGAAGACTCACTTGTTCAAGCTGGCTTTTGTATGACCTTCTTCACCTCTCTCTCTTTATTCTGCTCTCCCCACCTATTCCACCTTCCTCAGGATCCACTGATTTCCCTCTTTCCTGTTCCCTCTCTCTCTTTCTTGACATATTTTTAATCGGTAACACTTTATAATAACTACATCTTATTTAGCCTTAATTACACATGAACAAACATGTAAGTAACTACTAACAAATAATTAATTAACAGTGACTCTTACTTAATAAACAATTAACCAATGCATTAATTAATGCTTTGTTTTTAATGATTAGTCCCTTGTAGAAGCTGTTTTCTCATGTCTTTGTGATGACATCACACCGGTGCGCGAAGGTGCGGGTTCCAACCCATAGGAGAGGAGGGAGAGAGGAGGTAAACAGCGAGTGGATCACAGGGACTGAACTGATGTTTTGGAGCAGAGGTGTACCCCCCCCCCCCCCCCCCCCCCCCCCCCCGGTTTAGACGAGGCACTCATGCAGGTGTCTCTTTCTGTTCCGACGCTGCTACACGTAATATTTTTACTGAATTAAGCCTATAATGTACTTTTACTCAGTAACGGATATGATTTAAAATGTAGTGAATTACAATTCTTTTTCAAAACCATACTCGAGTAAAAGTAAAACTACAGCTTTTAAAAACTACTTAAAAAGTATAAATATACAAAAAAGCTACTCAATTACATTATAGTGAGTAAATGTAATTCGTTACTTTCCACCTCTGGTTGTTATAAATAAAACCTGGGTCTGAAAAGAGCATGTAGCTTTTTATTAGTGGTTGATATTTATTTATTTTTAAATATTCAGAGCTGATTTATTAAAAATCGAACCCGATCTTCTCTCTACCTACGAGAGATGCTCATCAGAATCACGACGTGGTTTTAATCCTCAGCTCAACTCGTGATTTTCTCTTTTAGCTCTTAATTTAAAATAAAATATAATTGATAGTTTGATGAGAAAAAGGAGAAAGTTGCTGCAAACTTGTGTGTTTTAAAAAATCTATAATTAGTCATGAAATAATAAAGAAAAGATTCATTTCACAAAAAATGCATAAAACCTACAAGAAAATAAGAAGGAAATTTCAGATGAATCATTTAGAAGTTAAGAGTTTCACCAGATTACTGTTTACAATAATAATTAGCTATAGCTAATCAGTTATCCTCTAATTATTGACCTTTAGAGAAAAATAATAAATAATAGAAATTTCCCAATCTCATAATAAACAGATTTTTGCTGTGAAATGATCTGGTTACACATTTTCTTATAATAAAAATCTGCAGAATGTTTTCTGTTTAAGGATAAATCTGGTCTTAAATCAACTTTACGGTAAATCACGTCTGATTGGGTCTGATTCGTTTAAACTGCTTTATTTATTCATCTTTAGTCAATTATGCCTTTTATTTAACTCCATCTCAGTTTTTTTCCAGATTTTCTGTCATATGCCAGATTAACGTTTAAAAAATAAAACATTTAGCAGAAAGCAGCACAAACCACATTTGTTCTGGTTAATTTAAACCATTGAATATGAATCTGTTGATTATATTTCAGAAGATAAAAGCAAATATGAACTATTCTCATCTGAAAACCAGTAATTCCTAGATATGAACATTTTAATTTCCCTTCCTGAGCTCAGTTTGTGTTCTAACCTGACGATAAGAATCTCTTAATTTATTCAAATATTTTATTCAAATCACTCTTCGTTGCTGTCGCTCTTTTTGTTCCCTTGGACTGATATTAACATGAAAGGAAAAAAACACAACAGAACATTTTCTTTTGGACTTTTTCTTCCATTTTAGAGATAATTTGGTTTATTACTGGACACAAGTTTGTGTATTTATCACAGACTTCAGTGTTTGAATGGCTGTTTGATTTATTTCTCATTTAGTGTTTTTATTTCTTTACCAAACAGCAGCTGATCTTCACTTTACCAACATGACAGGCTTCAGTTTCGTCTTTGAACGCGCTCCGATTCTGCGTGTGCATATGTTCGTGTGTGTGTGTGTGTGTGTGTGTTTGTGCATGTGTGTGTGTGTG